GGCCTGGGTACAAGCAGATGATGTCATTAGGGAGTAGCAAGGGGTGAGTGAATCATTTCTGTTCCAAGCAGGTCACAAGCCATAGCACACTGCCAGCTTAACCCACCGGCCAAACAGATGGGTGGCTTTTTGGATGACTAATAGGGTTACTCTAGCTGCCTGTGGGTGGGACCCCTGTCCCCATTTCCAGCCCAAACCTGCTTCTCCTCTGCCCATGGTCCCTATCTGAGGACAGGTCCTACAATTCACTTTATGTCCAGAGCCAGAATGGGGGCGGAACCTGTCCTCCTCTCACGATCCGTCATCCATCTGGCCTTTGACTCTAGCTCCTCCACACCTCCCCCATCACCTGCCCCCATCCCCACTGCCTGCTCTGGCCTCTGGGTCATGACACAGCTTGCCTCTGTTCTGTGGGCTCACTCACAAAAGTCCTGCCACTCTGATTCAGAGACCCTCGGTGGCCCGTGTCCTGCTGCTGCCTGTGGGCTAGCTGTTCCTCTGCCCCTACATTCTTTCCTCCCATCTCCACCCATCATTCCTGATGAGGCTCCAGTGTCACCTCCTCAGGAAGCCCTCTCTTGTGCTGGGACAAATTAGGGATTCTCACCTGTGGTCCCACCATCCCTTCCCTGAATCATGGCCCTTCCTGTTCCTGCACAGAGTTTGCCCAAACATGGCAGGTGCTCAGCAAATATTTATTGAATGGACTGTTTTCACTCTCTGTTTATTTGCCTATGAAAAAAATGTATGATTAAAAAAATTTTTATTTAGCATATATATTCATCACTGTCCATGAATTCAAGCCACCACAGATTGAAAATATTTGAAAAAAATGACTGAACATATACAGGCTTTTTCTTATTATTCCCTCAACAAATAATGGCTTTGGCCCAACATTCACATTCTGTTGGGTATTATAAATAGCCTAGAGATGATTTAAAATTCAGGGGAGAATGCGTGTATGTTACGTGCAAATACTAGGACATTTTCTAGGACTTGAGCATTCATGGATTTTGGTAAAGCCAACCCCACCATGGACGCCTGGGGACAACCACATTTACCAAGGATGCTCTGGTGCCAGGCATCATGTGGGCGCATGGAGGATCCTGCAGTGAGCAAGAGTGACAGTCTTGCTCTCAGGGAGACAGGGATGGGTGCAGGTCCCATTTGGACCCCAGCACAGGGCTTTCCACAGCAGGCGTCCTTTCCTTGTTGAATGACGCAGGAGCCCTCCTGGACGGCGGGACAGCACTGCGCTCAGTTCTCCCCCACTGTCCCTCCCGTGAACATGCTTTTAGCTCTCATAGAAATAGAGACATCCTCTCTCAGGTTCTCCCGAGCTCCCCGAGACCCCAGCCTTAGAAGGGAATGGGAGGAGAAACAGCCTCAGTGTCAAGGACACTGTTGTCCATCAGTCACCTTGGGCCTGTGACATCCTTTAACATCTGGGGGCTCATTTCTTTTATTTCTACTGAACGGTTAACTGGGCCTCAGAAGGGTGACTTGCTCAAGAACCAAGAGGAGCAGCTAGGATTTTCCTAGAGTATTTTTTTCTTCATGCTGGACATGGAACCAGGCCTTGCTGTGCTGGGTGAGCGCTCCGCCCCTGAGCTGCTCCCCCGTGCTGTTAGTGTCCTTTGGTCTGAAGCTGGAGCCTCTGCTATGCCGTCCATTTTTACACCTGCAGGCAATTCCAGCAAGAGATTTCAGAACTGATTTGTTCTCTGAGGGTTTTGGGGGGCGGCCGTTTAAATGGCAAGGCTTCACCTGAAGCTTGGCGGAGATGCGTCACAGTCCAGAGCACACGTATTTCACTTCAGTGGACTTGGGATCCAAATTCTTGCTGCACCTTGCTGTGTAATTTAAGGCAGTTTTACCTCCTTGAAGTTCAGCTTACTTCTCTCTACAAATGGATGGTCAAAATCTACTCCAGAATGTTGCAAGGATTGGATGTCAGAAAGATGGCAAGTGCTTAGCGTGGTGTCTTATGCATAGCACAGTGAGTGCTTAGTAACTCAAAACGTGGTGATATAGGGGACACGTGCAGAGGAGCCAGGGGGCAGTTTCCTGCACTACCAGCACCTGCCTCTAGATGGAAGCAGGAGCCAAAGAAAAGGCCCTGGGGTGTCCCCAGTGGGCTGTGACCTTGGGTCTCTAGTGACCCCCACAGTGTAATATCCAGAATAGGCAAGGTCAATGAGGTCTAGCAGGAAGGCTCCTGGAGCTGGGGTGGAGAGACTGGACCCAGAGACAGAAAGGGGTCAAGGCAACTGAGGGGCGGCATCTGTTTTCTAGTGGTGTGAATAGGCGCCAGGAGAGGTGGGGACATGCCTTCTTCCAGGGCAGAAACGACCCCCCCACTGTGAGGTCTGACCTTGGAGCCTCACTCACCTGCTGCTGACAGAGTGGACAGGAGGCTGTCTGTGATGTCACAGAGCCGGGAACCAGGGAATGCAGAGCCAGGGGGGTCTGGACTGGACCACAGAGGCGGGAGGAGGAGGGTATCTGCTGAGGCCCTCTCCAGGGGTCCTTCCCGCTGCCCATCATGTCTGTCAGGTTGGCAGTGTGGCCCTGCCTCCTGTGGCTGTCACCCTTCTTGGTTGGAGGGTGGCAAGGGTATTCTTGTCATGGGGTGCCAGAGGCAGGTGGAGCAAGCCTCAGACCCTGTCAAGTTCTGTGCACAAACAAGTCACATGACAGAGCCCAAGAGCCTTCACCCAAGAAGATACGGCAGAGAAGGGGGAGGAATTTGGGACCAATAGTTCCTTATGCCGTGGGTAGATACTGTTACTGAACAGATGAGGCACAGAGAGTATGTTAGGTCTCTTGGCCAAGGTGACACAGTAAGAGGCGAGGCATTTTAGGTCCAGTTTGATACTGTCCAAATGCATTGTGAGTGGGTTGTAATAACTTAGTTCCTTCTCCCATCGGGAGGGAATGCTCGTGTAGAACCTGTTGCTGCTAGCTCCTCCCTTCCTCCTGTCCTGCTCTCTGTGCCCTAGTATAGACACTTGCCCCAGAGCTGGGCAGGAGATTCTCTCCTTGTGATTAGACTGGGCCCACCCTGATAATCAGGGATTATCTCTAGCTCAAGGTCACTGGTTAGCAAACTTGATTGCATCTGCAGCTTTAATCCCCTTTGCTATGTAAAGTACCATGCTCTCAGGTTCCAGGAAGAGGGGGGAGGTATTTTTGAGAGAGAAAGGGCATTTTCTGTCTTTGAACTCTTGTACCCAGAAAATCAGTGTGCAGTGGTGCTGTAATCCCAGCACCTGTAATCCCAGCTACTTGGGAGACTGAGGCAGGAGGATTGCAAGTTCAAGGCCAACCTAGGCAACTTAGTAAGACCCTGTCTCAAAATAAAGTTTAAAAAAGGGCTAGGAATCAGGGAATGCAAATGAAAACTACACTAAGATTTTTGTCTCGCTCCACTCAAAATGGCAATTATCAAGGTCTCAAATAAAAAAAATATTAAAAATGCTGACAAGAATGTGTGGTGAAAGGGGTTCACTCATACATTGTTGGTGGAACTGCAAATCAGTGCAACCACTCTGGAAAGCAGTATGGAGATTCCTTAGAAAACTAGCAATGGAACCACCGTATGACCCAGCTATTCCACTCCTTGGTATTTACCCAAAAGAACTAAGATCAGCATATAATTGTGATATGGCCACTTCCATGTTTATAGCAGCCCAATTCACAATAGCTCAGTTATGGAATTGGCCCAGGTGCCCTTCAATCGATGAATGGATCAAAAAAATGTGGTATGTATGCACAATGGAGTTTTATTAATCCATAAAGAAGAATGGAATTGTGGCGTGTGCTGGTGAAGGGATGGAACTGGAGAGCATCCTGCTGAGTGAAATAGGCCAGACTTAGACAGTCAAGGGTTGAATGTTTCCTCTCATATGTGGAAGCCAGGGCACAGCAAGGGAAAGGAGGCTATGGTGGTGGGGAGGGGAGCAGCCATCATAATGCACAGGGAAGATCAGTGCAGAAGGTGGACCACAGGGGCAGGGAGAGAGGAGGGGACAGGGGAGAGGAAATATGGAATGAATCGAGTTCTGTGCATACATAAATGTAGCACAGGGAATCCCACCTTTATATGTAGAGAGTGCCAGTCAGAAATAAATAAGTAGGAGAGAAAGGAAGATCAGTGGACTCCACGGAGGCGAATGGGGAAGGGAGGGTGGAGGGAAAGGGGGAAACGAGGATTGAAATTAAATTTCAAGTGCATATGACTTCAAGTGAATCTGACTCCTGTGTATAACTCTGATTTCTAATAAAAAAAAATTAAGAAGGGCTGGGGATGTAGCTCAGTGGTGGGCCACATGCCTAGCGTGCATGGTGACCTGAGTTCAATCCTCCATACTGCCAAAAAAGAAAAAGAAATTCCCAGTTCAAACATCAAGAAAAAAAGAAGTAACCAAAAGAATGTATAAGAACAGAAATTAATAGAGTATAAACAAGTAGATCTAATTAGTTAAAAAAAATAAAAACAATTAACAAAACAGAAGACTGGAGAAACCCTGCAGCAGATGCGACCCCCACCAAGGGTCTGAACCCACCCATAGCACGTGCAGTTCTTGGATTAGATCCTGGACTAATCGGGGGAAAAAGGGGATATTTGAACACTATCGTATCAATGTTCACTTTACTGCATTTGATAATTGTACTGTACTTCTATAAAAAAGGCCTCCTTGTTTTTAGGAAATACACACTGAAATATTTCAGGGTAAAGGGGTGTGAAGACTCCCCCTCCAGTGATTTGGAAAAAACTGGGAGGCAATGAAGCTCTTGGTGAATCTGGGTGAAGGGGAGACCTGCGTTCTTCCTATGATTCTTGCAACTCTCTGTATGTTTGAAACTATTTCAAAGTTATCCAAAAGGTTGGAAATTTTTTTTTTTTTACATTAGATGTGACAATATATTTAACAATGATGTTATCTATAGGTGACACTCCCTGGCCAGGGGGAGGGAAAAAGAAGAGGGACGTGACATCTAATGCAACCAAGGCCTTTAATTGGTGACAACTTCTCCTCTGTGGCCATGTCAGGGGCTGAAGCTACTTGGTCAGGGGGCCCAGGGGTGACTCAGACATCTTCTCCTCCCCTTCAGGGGAGTTTCCAAATCAGTCTTCATGACTCCTGCCCACTGCCCTCTTCCTCATGGGGACCTTCCAGCAGCTTGGAGACTCTGGGGTGCCCCCGACTAGAATGTTCAGGGTCTCCCGATGAGGCATGACTGGTAGGGCCACTGCTCGTGGCTGTAGCGGTTTAGATTTCTCTTATAAAACCCTTTTTGATGATCTTGTGCATTCAGCTCTGAAAGGAGAGAGGACAACATGGTGAGCGAAGGCCTTTTAGGTGGGCTTGGAGCAACTGTCCTGGTCATTTGCATCCCTCTCTGATCTTTCTTCAGATTCCCGAGTCCCCTGGGAGCCAACGCAGACCCGAGCCTAGGAGCTTCTGGCAGTGGTCTGGGGTTGAACTACCCTGGTGGATCCAGTGACCACAGAGAGTCTTGCTCAGGCAGTGGCATAGAGGGCAGGAGATTTGGGCCCATCCTGCCTTGGATGCTAACATCAGCCCCTGGTGGGCTTGTGGAAAGTCTCTTCTCTTTGGGGGGCCTCAGGCCTATTGGGGTGGGGAGGACAGAAAGAGGTTGGGGGAGCTAGTGGGACCCCCAGCTCCTCCCCCTTGATTCAGGTAAAGCAGGTCTCCTTGAGACTTTTATAGGAATTCACCTTGAGTCTGATGTGATGTGGTATGCAAGGAGGTTTGGCTGATAGGGCAGGCTTAATGACGGGGCTGGGTGATTCTCAGCATTTTTTTTTTTTGGTATTGGGGATTGAACCCAGGGGCACTTGACCACTGAGCTGCATCCCCAGTGCCCCAACCCCCTTTTAATGTTTTATTTAATTTTTTTGTAGTTGTAGATGAACAGCATGCCTTTATTTTATTCATTGATTTTTGGATACTGTGGATTGAACTCAAGGGTACTCAGCCACTAAGCCATATCCCAGCCCTATTTTGTATTTTATTTAGAGACAGGGTCTCACTGAATTGCTTAACACCTCTCTTTTGTTGAGGCTGGCTTTGCACCTGCGACCCTCCTGCCTCGGCCACCCCAGCCACTGGGATTACAGGTGTGCACCCCTGTGCCCAGCAATCCTCAGCTCCTGAAGATCTGCCCTGGGGTGGGTGTGCCTTGGTGCACAGGTGCTGCCTAGTGACATGGCTGCATTTCTTCTTTCTGGTTTGTGCCCCTGTCCTAGATTGGACATCTGTCCTTCCATGACCCAGAGGCGGTTGCCCTGACTGAACTGTGCTCCGTCCACAAGCGTTCTCTGACCCTGTTCCCTGCCACACACCTGGCTGGGTTTGGGGGAACAACAGAGCTCCCTTCACTGTGCTCTGAGCCACACTTCCTGGTGGGCGCGGCCACTCTCTTTGCACTCCACTTAGCTGAGGTCAGAAATCTATGGGGCCCGGTCATCAGGACCTCTTTCCCAGAAGTCTGTTAGGACCCCAATTTGGGTCTCACCTTCAAACTCGGTGCTGCTGGAGGAAGATTTCTTCTGTGGATAGAGCAGGAGTTTCCCTAAAGACAAGGATGTGCTCATGCGCTTGGAATTTTGTCTGTTGAGCTCACTCTTCTGAAGCTTCAAATCTGTCAATGACAATTCCACAAGGTCACCTGGGAGGCTCCGAGGAATCATGGAAATGAAGGTATTTGTCCAACTCTGAAGTAGCACGTGGACATGTGGTGGGCATGCTGCAGTGGCCAGTTTCTGTGTCTCCCTCCTCCTTGAGTGCTTCCCCTTGGAAGCATGTGCTCCATTAGAAGTATGTATTCAGGGCTGATATGACAATCACTGAGCCTTTATCACATGATAGAGCTCAGTAGATAGAGTGCGTGCCCGGCATGCACAAGGCCCTGGTTTCAATCCTCAGCACTACACACACACACACACACACACACACACACACACACACAAACAAAATGCATTTAAAACACTAACTTTTTAGCTGGGCATGGTGGTGCCCACCTATAATCTCAGTTATTTGGAAGTTGAAGGAGGTGGATTGCAAGTTTGAGGCCAGCCTGGGCAACTTAGTGAGAAACTATCTCAAAAAAAGAAAAAAAAAAGAAAAAAAAAAAAGAAAAAGAAATTGCCCTCCATTAACATTTTTTCTATTTGTAAAAATGATGCATGACTGTTATAAACAAGTTGGGAAATATTTAATAGTAGGAAGCAAGAAGAAAATGTCCCCAAATGTCTCTCCCCCAGATATTCTTTTTTTTCCCTATGAATGTTGTTACATCACCTACCACATCCTATGTATTACCTATGCACTTTAATTTTTCATAGAATATCTAAAACATTTTTCTCATGTCCCTAAATTTTTAAAAATAATGGCTGTCTAATGTGTTAGGTGATGGATGATTGGAGGTTGATTTAACCAATGTTCTACTGTTGATGTTTAGACTCTTCAAATTTTGCTTTTATAAAGACTTGTACATAAGGTGTGGTCTGTCTTAACTTCTAGAAGTCTAACACAGGATTTTGCCAACAGACTGAGCTCTATTCTGTGTCAGGATGAATTGTACTGCCATTTACTAGCTGCTCACCTTAAACAGATGGCTCTTCCTTTGTTCCTCCTGGCAAAATGGTGTGCTCATTTTGGATAAGAATGTCCACTTCTTAGCATGACTATGCAGAATAAATAATAGTCTTTTACTAGTAGCATGAACCACTGCAGCAGCCGGGGTTTATCAGATTGCAGCTGAATGTCTAGACAGTACTTTGCATGTGATAAAGGCTCAGTGATTGTCATGTTGGGAAAAGGCACCAGCAATATTAAGGTTCTTGATTTTTATTGGGAAGCTATTTCCAAAAGAAGTCTTTAAAAAGCCCTCACTTATGGATTTCTGGCAAAATGAGAACATTTTCTTGCCATTTTACTGTCCCCTCTCCCAGAAAGATGGCCCTGTCCCACCAAGTGCTCATCAGTCTCAGCTTTGCCTGATTTTGATAATGATTTTTTTTTCTGTCCAACATTACTGATTTTGACCCCTTCTCTGCTATGACCTTTTGTCTTAGATCATCAAGATGGATGTGTTATTACAAACTGAAGGCCAAGGGTGCTTTCTCTCTTTCTCTCTGTATCCTTAATATGCTGGTCAAGGAAGTCTTGTGTCCAGATAGCTAAATATGAAAAAGAAATGATTTATGTGTCCTAGGCTTAGCATGAACAAAATATAAACTTCATTTTGTAAATCATTGAGATGTCAAGGCTTATTTGTTTTAACAGCAGAGCCTACCCTAACCTAACTGGTTCCCATATAGTGTCCATTTCTTGAATGCTTGCTTTGTGCCAGGCCTTGTGCTAAGTGCTTATGTATATGCCTCATTTTATCCTCCCAAAGATCCTTAAAAGTAACAATGAATTATAAATGTTCTTATTTTAAGGTGAGAATAATTGAGGTTCAGAGTGGCTAAGTGACTTGCCCAACTTCTGTGGTAAAGCTGAGATTCAAACTAGTGTATACAGACCCAAAAGTAGTGGAAATCTTATCTACTATATTATCTTTAGTCTAGTGTTTCTTGAAGTATAATATACCTACAAATATACCTGGAGATTATGTTAAAATGCAGGTTCTCATTCAGTGTGTAGGACTGGAGCAGGGTCTGAAAATGATCCTAACAAGTCCCTAACAAGGTGATGCTAATATTTCAGGTCCATGGTCCACAAGAATTTAATCTCTCTTGTTTATTGGTTTGGGGACCAATGCACCTAATCTCCATCTCATTTTAGGTTGGAGAAACCATTCAAAAGATGTAGGAAACCCAGGGGCGCCTCAGCAGGAGGGAATGAGCAAGCAGAGGTCTTAGGAGGCCAGGCGCTGCTCTTTTCTGGTACGTACCCACTGTTGATGGCTGATTCTCCTGGGTTTGACTGGGAACCTTAGAGTCATCAGAGGCTTGGGTATCCTCACAATACCTGCAGCATGAACAGAAGATCTTCGAGGCCAAGTTTTGGTGAGTTTCTGTGGAAGCTAAAGGAATGGGGCCATGGGTTCTGGGGTCTGAATTCTACATGCCTATTGGAAATTTACTGTGGTGAAGGTTATATTGGGTCAGCTTCTCTCAAGGCATGATAATCCTCCCCTCTGCCAATCATTGCTAGCCTCCCACAACCTGGAGGTCTCTCCTAAAGTCATCTATCCTATCCCATCCCAAATTTTCTTACCCATGGAAAGGAGTTGGAAGCCTCTATTCTGCCAGCTTTATCTGCAGGATGCCTTGTTGTGTCAGCCGATCTTGAATTAGAGCCCAGTTCCCTGGGCAGGGCTGTTTCCTGGATGAACATAAGACTGTAGCTGAAAAACGCCAGCCCTTGACCTGTGCTCACACTCTAGCTAGGACCCACCACAGCCAAGTGTCAGGTCCTGCAGAAGTGGGCGGAAAATGCTCAGGCTTCAGATAGATTACATTCTTCCCCATTTCTAGACGTATGTTCTGGGGCAGATTTCTTCATAAGCTTCATCACGTGGGAAATGGGAATAACAGTGCCTACTCTGCAGAAGTACAGGGTTAAATATAGGCAAAATGGCTGCCATGCAATAAGTGCCCAATGGACATTCTACTCCATTCCATTCCCTTCTCTTCCCCTCCAGAGCTCATTGCTTCCAAATTATCCCAAATAGTCTAGCTTCTATAGGAACCTGGTAAGGAAGCACATAGTTATGCAGACTTAAATCCTGGTTTTGACACTAATATGCTGCATGGCTTTGGGTAAGTCCATGCTTGTTGCTGTCTCAGGCTCCTCTGCAGAGATAAGAGGAAATTAGGTTAAATGATATCTTCAAGGATCTTTCTAGTGCGGATGGTCTAGAAGTACAAGGTCTTATTTTAGTCCTAAACTCCCTCCTTTGTGTATTAACTTTTCTAAAACTCCAGATGCTTTCTGTTTTTGCTTTTTGTTCTATGGAAAAACTTCCTTTTAGGAAATTCTTTTCATGGTATTGATTAGGTGTCCCTCCCACACCCAGTTCACTGCATGCATTGCTTTTCTCATGGACACCTGCTTCACTTTTTCAGCTGCTGTGCCCTTGTCCAAAGTGCCATCATCCCTTGCCTGAATTATTTCAATAGCCTCCGATCTGGACTCCTGTTTCTTTTACCCTTAGTGATTAATCCAAAAGTTAGGTAGTCCCGTTCAAGTGCATCATGTTGCACTTCTCAAAATTCCCATGGACAGAGAGAAATGGACATGACAGGTGAAGAGATATAGTATCAAGGAAATAAATGAAAACTCTGAACTAGAATCAAACAGAAATTCTAGTTCTTAAAAAAACAGTATCTGAAAGAAAAATGTATTGGGTAACATCAATACCACTCTGGACAGCAGGAAAAAAATGGCGTGTAAACTTGAGAAAAGATCAATAAAAATCACCCAAACTGAAGTACAGAGTGTAATAAGATTTTAAAAGTAGGATAAGGGCAATAGTGACCCAAGAAATATCACAAAGTTACCATACATGGATAACTGGAGTCTCAGAAGGGGTGAGCGTGGCAGCAAAACTTTTTTTTTTTTTAAAGCAAGAATAGTTAAATCTCTTCCAAATTTGATGGAAAACATCAACACAGGTGTTCAGCAAACTCCAAACATGAAAACCATAAAATGACACTTTAGCACATTGTAGTATGAAAGCTAAAAGTGAAAGAGAACACCCTGAATCTTTAAAGCAACTAAAAATGAAAAAGAATTAAAGAAGAAAAATAGGACAAGAATGACACCTGATTTTGTGCCAGAACAATGCAAGCTAGAAGACGATGGAGTAACAACTTTGGAATTCTGAAAGAAAAAAAATTGGAGTACGCCATATTTATTGAAAATATGCTCATTAAAGTGAAATGAAAATATTTTAAAATATAAAGGACTGGGAATTCAGCTCAATGGTTGAGCATCTGCCTAGTGTAGGCAAAGCCCTGGGTCTGATCCCTACACTGCAAGAAAAAAAAGTTAAAAATAAAAAAAAAGAATACAAAAGATGCTTAAAGTTAGAAGGAAAATGCTGTGAAATGGACATATCTACAAATAGGGATGACAATGACAAAATGGTAAACAAATGGGAGTAAATGAAAAAGATATTTTTTTCTCTTAATTCTCCCCCCGACCCCACACAAACTGTCTTTTACTCCTCAGAAGAAAACTCAAAAGTTCTTACCTGGTTCTTGAAGTGCTCTGTACTCTACTCCCCACTGCTATTTCCTTCCCACCCTCAGCTGCTACCATGACGCCACCTGTGATCCTTGCCCTTCCCCCGTGGATCCCATCCCAAGTGCACCAGGCTCCTGGCTGATTTGAACACCCTCTGCCAGCCATGCTGGTCCTTAGGTGGCTATATTCCTGTTTTTACCTTCAAGGTTTTGCTGGAGGGTTACTTTTTCTAATGAAGCTTTCTTTATCCACTGCATTTAAAGTGTCTCCCTTCCCCCGCCCTCACAGGTCTCCTTTCCCACACGCATTTCTGTCATTTTCTAGCACTATCGAATCCTGCTTCCTTTCCTTATGACATCGTAAGCCACAGGGGGTCACACATTTCATCTGTTTTGTTTTTGCTTTATTCTCAGGGTCTACAACAGCATCTCACAGAGTGTAGATGAACCATAAATGTTGATTTTTTTCTTCTTTTTTACAGTGCTGGTGATTAAACCAAGGCCTTACACATGCTAAGCAAGTGCTGTATCATTGAGCTACATTTGAAGCCCAATAAATGTGTGTTGAATGGACCAGCATGGAATCCTCTTTGTCTTGGGTGAAACATTTGCAGACACTGGAGTCAACTGGGAGTTGGGTGGTAACTTTTGCTCCGGGAGTATTACAGCCTGTAGGACCCAGCCCACTACGTGACTTGGATGGTTTTGGGAATCAATTATAGTTCTGCTCTGTTTACTGGTGGGGCTGCCAACCTGTCCACTGCAAACCCACATTCCCTATTTTGCAGAAGGATCCTATTCTCTGTCTCCAGATCCAGAAGCCTGCCAGTCTCCTATTTTCCTCCCACATTCACCAGTCTTTTGACTTGATTTTGCAGATAACTTCAATCTGTCTGCTATCATCCATTGTCATTTCCCTCACCAGAGTCAAAGCCACCATCACCTCTCACCTGGACCCCGGCTCAAACTTCCCCATTGGCTTGTTCACCTCTCCAGAAAGCCAGAGTTGTGTGGCCCCAATGTAAACCCCAAGTGACAGTCCTGCTCAGACCCTGCAGGGGCTCCCCAGGTCTGCAGAACCCAACTGTTTTTGTGCTCACACTGCCAATCTCTTCAGCCCGAACTTCCTCTGGTTTCACTCACTACAGCTGTAAGATGCCACCCAGGCAGCCCCCTCGCCTCTCACTGAAGGATTCTGCTTTTACACTCTCCCTGCATCTGGGATGTTCTCAGCTCACTCCTTTACTCATCAAACTCCAAGACTCATCCTCTTACTCCTGGGGTGAAGTTAGGGACCTCTGCCTTGTGCTCTCCTATCACCCCCACCCCACTCATCATGTCACATTGTTGTAGAGCGACTGCCTGACTCGGGGTCAATGTTGCAAGACTACTTGTTGAAAACATTGTAGCTGCCTATTTAGTTGTCAGCCATCTGGGTGGTAGCCCATGTGCTCTTCCCATTTATGAAGCATGATTTTATTGAGAACCTACTCAGTGCTAGGTACTGTTGGTGCTGAAGATACTGCAGTGAATAAAATACAAGATAGACAAATGTACCCCCATGTGGAGGGCAGGAATAGTGTTTTTCTTTTTTCTTTTTCATCTTTGTATTCCCTCTACTCTCATCCCAGGGCTGAGCACAGAATAGAAACTTTACAAGTGTTTGTTGAACAATCTCATGAGCTTTCTCTGATTGTTGGATAGATCTCTCTCCCCTTCTGCTAGCTGATCTTTCACTTCCTACTCATAAGCTCTTCCTTGTGGATAGGTGCACTCGTAGGCTAGACACACACAGATGTCACCATGTGTGGGATCCTGGGACCAGGAGCCAGTCTCATTGGGTGCATGGACCCCTATATCTCCAGTGGTCTTTTTGGATTTCCTGCCAGATGAGTTTCCAACATGGTTTGAGTTGTGATGTATCTCCCTGAGCTCTCTTTAAGTATATGGTGAGCTCTCTTTAATGAATTTATTTTCCTTTTATAAACAAATAGAAATTTATATCAGACAGTCGGATATTTGGTTTTGGAGATGCACCATTTAGCAAATGTCCTTGCCGTTAATCTGCTTGATCTTCTGCTAATTGCCTTAGCAGAAGCAATTTTCTTCATCCACAAATGTGCCTGCCGGGGTTTGCTTTGTTCCAGATTGCCTGTGCTCGCTGGGCGGAAGGAAGTGCCTCACAGGCCAAGAGTGGAGTCATGGGCACAGCCAGCCAAGCCTCCTCGGGTTGGCCCTGAGAACTAGGGCTGGAGTGCAGGTATTCTGATGATCCGTGTGTATGAAGGATTTGGCTCAACTGTTGGCTTGGGTCCTCCAAAACTTTTGTGAGCACATGTTCTGTCTTTAATCATAAAACGAGACCCCTTCTGAGGTCTGCATCCTGGTGGGTGATTTCCAGGTCACTGGTCATAGGGCCTCTTTGGGCTCTGCTTGGCTCAGGGATTCCAGGCGCCATGCAGTGCCTGAGTGCATATAGGAACTCTTTCCTGTTGGTCCTGGCCTCCTTTACATTAAAACTGTCACCCTTTTCTGGGAAAACTCCTGCTTCCTACACATTCTTCCACTCTATGTACTCTTCTGTGCTTATTTTGATAATTTGCAAAATTTTACTAGATGGCTTAGAAGTACCAAAGCCCTTATGAAAGATCTTTGATGTAAAAAATAAAATAAAACAAAACAAAGTGAGATTTAAGAGGGTCTCTAGAAAAGAGAGAAGAAAAAACATATCAAAACAAAACAGCAAATGCTCAATTCTGGGTTTATACACAATGGAGTACTACTCAGCACTAAAAAATGTCAAAATCATAGAATTTGCAGGGAAATGGATGGCACTAAAGCAGATTATGCTAAGTGAAGCCAGCCAATCCCTAAAAAAACAAATGCCAAATGTCATCTTTGATATAAGGAGAGAAACTAAGAACAGAATAGGGAGGAAGAGCATGAGAAGAAGATCACCACTAAACAGGGAGGAGAGGAGGGAAGGGAAAGAGAGAGAGAAGGGAAATTGCATGGTAAAAGAAGGAGACCCTCATTGTTATACAAAATTACATATAAGAGGAAGTGAGGGGAAAGGGGAAGAAAACAAGAGAGAGAAATGAATTATAGTAGAGGGGGTAGGGAGAGAAGATGGGAGGGGAGGGGAGGGGAGGGGAGGGGGGATAGTAGAGGATAGGAAGGGCAGCAGAATACAACAGACACTAGTATGGCAATATGTAAAAAAGTGGATGTGTAACCGATGTGATTCTGCAATATGTATAACGGGTAAAAATGGGAGTTCATAATCCGTGAACTTGGCATGCTCTGGCCTCAGGAGGAACAATAAAAGAAAAATTAAATAAAGTTCAAACTCCTACTCAAACGTTCTGAAACTGACTTGCTTTGCCTTTTTCTTTCTCTCTACACCCAACTTTTTCTTTACCACCCACTTATTCTCCTCCAATACCCTCCCCTGGCTGCCTGAAGACTTTCTTCAGGGGGCCTCTTTCTAGAAAAGAACAGGCATAAATCCCCATATGCCCCCCAAACGCCTACAGCCGCAGGTGGGTCTGGAGGGGCTGGGTCTCAACGGCAGGTGAGACTCCAGGGCAAATATTTAGAATCTTCCCAAACTGCAGAAGGGCAGAAGGTTTCTGTGAAATTCAGGAGTCTGCTACTTCTTGTCCTGGTATATTTGTAATAGTAAGTTCATTTAACTGTTGGGTTCAGTGATGTGGATACGTGTTTAGAAATGGCAGGATGGAAAAGACCAGGATATTTAAATAATCCACTTAAGCACAATAAAAAACAAACAAAAAAAAAACACAACAGAATTCAGAAGGGAAGAAAAATAGGAAACACACCATATAAGGCTATTTTGAAAACTTTCTCTTAGGGACCAAGATTTAGAATCTCTCTCTCTCTCTCTCTCTCTCTCACACACACACACACACACACACACAAAAATCACCATCAATCATCATCACCATCACTTTCATTAATGGGGCACTGAAAGGATTTCAGAATCCTTTTGAAAAATATTCTGAGGTAGATCAAGACTTGAGTAAAGGAAGTCCTTTCTTTCTTTCTTTTTTTTCTTTCTCTCTTTTTATTTTTGGAAAGGATTAAGACCTGAAATAATAATTATTAGAAAAAATAAATAAGAGTGGGAAGTGTCAGTGTTGATCTCTTGATCATTTTCAGAGTCCTCGAATATTAACTAGAATTCAAAATCATCTTGTGGTCTCCTGCATAAAACTGGTCCCTGAGGTAAAACAGGACCCAGATTTCCTGTGTTGTAAAGAATGTGGAGTCTGAGCCTAAGGACACCGGTGTGCACTGCGGCCAGACAGGCCACTGGAAGGAGGGATTCTCCAGGTCAGAAGGACAGCTGTCCACATCTGTCCAGTGGCGTCTGTCTGAGGAGGCCTTAGCACTCAGCACCTTCCTGTCCCACCTCCTAACTCCCTAGGGGCACTGTCTGCAACACAGATGGACAGGGATACTTGTATGGCAGCTTCTAATGTGGAAACCAGACTCTTCAGTGCCACCGGGGACCAAGACTCACTGTCCTGTGTGGAATACTTAGCCCATTCCAAGTGGATGGCTCCCCCGCCCTGTTCAGTTGACAATGGCATCTTGCACGGTCGGAAGGAAAGTTGGGACTGTCATCTCCCTTCCAGTGACAGTTCAGATGAGGCAAGGTTTAGCCCTGGGCTCCGGGGAGCCGCCACTTTCCCCTCCATGGCGTATTTGGGGGAGCTAACCCCTGACCAACCTCGGCTCGGGGTGCAGGTAAGAAGCCAACCTGGCAGCCCCCCAGCAGGGGCCCTGTAGGTGCTGGTGGCCCCACAGAGGACAACCGGGCACTACCGGGCAGGGTAGAGGGGTCCATGGTGCAGATGCAGAGGGGCCTGGCCTCAAGGCAACAGCCCTGGACCTGCTCAGAAGTCAGGAAGGACCTGCTCTGCTCACGTTGGGTCTCACTTTCCTCATCTGTGAAATGGCCTGGGCTCCGCTTGGTCCCTGGCTGACCTAATCAATAGCACAGCTCATCCCCCGGGAACAACTGACCCACTTAAAATCTTTAGTTCAAGTAACTGTGGCTGATAGGACACCCTTGGATTTAATTTTGGCCAACCAGGGAGTCTGCACCCTTGCTAATGCTCCATAATGCACCTGGGTTAGTGCCCCAGGTGAGGGAGATCCATATCTCAGCCAAAGGAACAGGAAACCCTGCTCTCTAAGGCAGAGGTCATCCTGGGGAATCCTGATAGTGATTCCAGAGAGCCTTTTGGATCCTTCTGAAAATGTTTAAATGATCATAGTTTGTTTCCTGTCCCTCGGTATGTGTTGAGGGTCGAATGCTTCCAGGCAGCCTCTAGTCCAATGGAGGGTGCGACAAAGGATTCCAAGACCAAAACAAGAAAGGCCAGGCTGACGACACTCAGCTGGAAACTGCATGTCCAAGAGTGGGTTTTCAAGGAAGACCAGCAACAGTGGCAAAGATCTGGACAACCTTGGAGAATCCTCCCTGCAGTCATGGTTGAGGGGAGACTGTGAGCACAAAGAAAAGCGTCCATGTTCCTGGGTGAAGCTGGAGTGCCCTGAACAGAGGGTGGCAGGTAGTCAGCACCATCTGTGTCACACCCACGTAGCCATCAGTGACACTTTGCCACATGACCAAGCTCCTGGAAGGGACAGGGACATGCTGGCAGCTGCACCTCCCAGTGGAAGGGCCCAGCTGGAGATCTCCTGGCTCAGCACCTGTCCAGCCTGGACATCAGCCACCATCTTTGCTCAGAGGCTGGGCCACCGAGCCCACCCTCTCTTGTTCCAGCAGAGGCACATCCTGGTTCTGTTTCACACGTGGCATGGAAGTTTCTTGCTCTACAGCAGCTTAGGTATGTATAGGAAAGTACAGGTGTCAGCCACTTTCCACCCACCTCTTTTAAAGACCAACGGAAGCTTATTGCACACTGAATTCCGAGCCTTGCTTTTTTTTCCATTTATAAACAGACCCAGCAGTGGGGACTCCAAGTGGAGGTTTGTCTGGATCCAGGGTTGAAGCTCCCAGTCTTTACCAGGTAACTTCACAGGGAAAAGGGGGAATAGGACCACTTTTTGCTCTAGTGTTGAGAGCACAGAATTTTGAACTTTTGGACCATCTTCAGAAATGGAAATGCTCTTAGGGAGAGCAGTGAAACAATTATGGGCACATTGTTTGAGGTGTGATTCTTGAAGATCTAGTTATTAGAAGGATAATTTAGAAGAATTTATATCCTCCTCAAACCTCAGTTTTCTGATCTGTAAAATGGGAAAATAACAGCATCTACAGCAAGAGGTGCTCGTGAGGATTAATTAATGATGGAAAGTGCCTAGCACAGTCTTCTGGTACTTCCTGAAGACTTAGTAAATATAAATGGTGATGTGGAGGCTGAAGGCAAGGTGCGGGGAGGGTGAAGCGGGGGAGGGTGGGCAGTTTCCTGCACTACCAGCACCTGCCTCTAGATGGAAGCAGGGGCCAAAGAAAAGGCCCTGGGGTTGTCCCCAGTGGACTGTGAGCTTGTATTGACCAGGACAAGCAAAGTCAATGAGGTCCAGCAGGGAGGCTTCTGGAGCTGGGGGAGCCCTTTGGGCACAGGTAAGAGACTGGGACCCAGAGAGAGAAAGGCAACAAGGCAACTGAGAGGCGGCGTCTGTTTTCTAGTGGTGTGAATGGGCGCCAGGAGAGGTGGGGACATGCCTTCTTCCAGGGCAGAAACGACCCCCCCACTGTGAGGTCTGACCTTGGAGCCTCACTCACCTGCTGCTGCCAGAGTGGACAGGAGGCTGTCTGTGATGTCACAGAGCCGGGAACCAGGGAATGCAGAGCCAGGGGAGTCTGGACTGGACCACAGAGGCGGGAGGAGGGAGGACCATTGACCCTGACTCCAGGATGTTAGGCTGTCCACCAGGCCTTCATCGGGACACCTGAATGTAAGTCCTGGTGTCTCTTGTGAAACCATTTTGAGGGCCCTGGGCCAGAAGTGGGTGGTACAACACGAGACTCGGAAGGCCTGGGACACCCTGCCTCCCTTCACCCTCTGGGTGGTAACCTTGGTCCAGTGACTTCACACCTCAGTTTCTCCCTCTGCCAAATGGGAATAATCGCAATTATGTGTGCCCTGTGTACTTTTAGGATTCAGTGAGATCAGGTCAATAAACAACACGGTACTATTAGTAACTCCTCCAAGAGAGGGAAGTTGCTAAACATAGGTGGAAAATAAAGTGACATTCCTTCCCAGTCTGTCTTTCAGAAAAAGGGGAATTGCTTTCTAGCTGAGTCCTGACAAAATCTCTCACCCTGTGGGGCACGCTTTCAATTCCTTGATTTAGGACAACCCAGGACTATTTTAGGGAAGTCAGATTAGGTTAAAATGTCTTCTGTCAGTGCTCTCTTGGATGCTTACAGGGGTCACGGATACAACAGAAACAGAAAAAAAGAAAGAGATTCAGCTCACTTTGGGAGACTTCAGCGGGTGGGGTGGCAGGGGAGGGTGATGTAAAGTCACCACCATAGACGTTCGATGGTGGGTAAAACAGCTCTCAAAAGCTGGCTTGGAGAGGAAACTTACCCTTAAGTTGTCATATTGACGATTCTCAACTCTGGCTGCAAATGTGATTCACTTGGGGTGTTATTAAAACTAAGAAGGCTTGGCGCCTAATCCCAGAGAAATTTAGAATCCTGGGGGGAGGTGGGGCCTGGCAGCAGTGTTTCTACACAGCTTTGCAGGTGATTCTGTGGGTCCATCAAGAACCCCTAAATGGCATTGCTCAGGAGCACTTGTTACACCCTTAAGAGGTGGCTCCTAGCATGAGCCTACTTATCAAAATCCCTAACAGAGCTTTAGACACCCCAGTCCTAGTACCCAGTCAGTAAAACCACTATATATATATATATATATATATTTTTTTTTTTTTGGGGGGGGGGTGGTGGCGAGAAGGCACAAGGACCAAGGTGTTGGCAGATTTAAAAACTCCATCAAGAACCAAAGAATATTAGAAACAAATAATTTAGTAACAAAGATAATTTCCCCTGGAAATCTGTGTTGATGCAAACTGGGGATACACTGATGTCCAACGTGTGTGTGTGTGTGGGGGGGGCGTTTGAATGCAGTTGCTGCAGAGTGTGGGAGACAGAGATGGCGTTTCAGATCAGTCTATTTCATATATGCCACGTATGGTCTATGAATCCCTTTAAGTTGGTGCTTTGGTTATAACACTGAATATTTACATGTTTAAGTTGATGAAAATACTTTTAAAAATCTTTGCATGAGGAACTGAGGGACTGCCTATTCTGTTTGGAGTGGTTTACCATTCAAGTGTGCATGGGTGCTGCTTCTTTCTGCTGGGGCTTAGGACAGAAGACCAGTCCAAGGCTCCTATGTGGGTTTCTGGTTTAGGCAAAGAATCGTGAAACTGATCTAAGGCCCTGGGCTAAGGTCAGTGGCTGGCTTTGGAGTCTGGTGGACTCTGGGCACAGAATGGCTGCATCACCCTGGCGATAGCCACCGACTCTCTGATCCTGGCTTTACTTACCATGAGAATGGGCATCTAATAGAGGTGGTGTGAGGGACCGATCAGATCAGGCATGTGAAAGTCCTGCCCAGGACAGAGGAAACACTCAGTAAATGTGCTTATTATTTTTGTAGCACCCTATTACCGTGTTACTGTGCTGTTGAAAATGAGGGCAGGTCTGGGCAAAGATCCCTGGGGCTTCCACATCTACAGATATGAAGTTAGGGAGTTCAGAAAGAGGAGCCAATTTGAAGATGAGGATAAATTTTGATTTTTTGGAGACCTATATTTTGAAATAGTTATAAATCCACAAAATGTTTCCAAGAAAGGTACAGAGAGGGCTCATGAAACCCTCCCCCCCCTCTCCCAGTGTCACACCTTGTCTCACAACAGCACAAGTTCAACCCTCCCCCGCCCCCGCCCCCCGCCACTCCAACCAAATGCAATG